TCCAAAAATAAATTTTCAAGCCTCGTGTATTGGCAAGTCGTCTGTAAACATTAGAAATCATGCACACCATTTCCATAATACTACGTAATTAAATAGGCCAGTAGCTACAAATCCATTTTTTCACAGCAGCAGGAGATGAAAAGCCTGTACCACTTGCTCCTAATGCATACAAGCTTATCAACCAGGCAACAATAATTCTTTAGCACATAATTATAACGAAAGCATCAAATCATCTTTAAAGTGGTAGAAAAATATCATTTCTGAAGTTGACAGGGCTGGTGGCCACCAACTTGTTGCTCTTAGTCCTCTATTTATATACCAAACCACTTGAGAAACCATCTAGATTAATAGAATTCTTCTAAATATTACCTGCCTCAATAAATGCAAGCCTATTATGACTGGTGATTCACTTTTTTGTCCGCCTTTTTAAGTAATAAAGAAACAAACAATAATTACTGCAAAAAAATAAATAAATAAATAAAAGTAAAAATAAAAATTAATAATAATACTCTTTCTGGAGACATCTTCAGATAGTCAATTTCTGCAAAGCTTTATATTATTTTTATTCAAACAAATCTCACAAGAAAGTCCAAAATGATCAACACAAACAACCAACCATGAAGAAAGAAAAGAATACAATGTCTATTGCTTCTAAGGTTATATTTGACGACACACAACAGTAGTTAATGTTTATACCAGTAATATCAACGCACCTTGGTGGATGTAGTAAACCATTGGCAACATTAAATGATCCTAAAAAAAATTGGCTTGATTAATACAGTACCATACAATTTTCTAAAGTTGGAAGAAATTAGCAATCTGGGTATTCATAAGATTAGTAAACTCCAAAGATATAATGTCTTTGTAACAGTTGAACTCAATAGTCAAAAAGCAATTAAAAGGCTGCAAAAATCCAGAACCATTATCCAAGCTTCTTTCTCGGAACAATGGCAAAAGACAAAATGGGGACAAGATAGTTACAGATAAATTCCCACTACCAACTAAGAAAAAGTGATATGTAGGGCATGGGGGTTAAGAAAAAGGTACAACTAACAAGTTTGCAGCAATCAGAGTACCTTCACTAGCTTTCGCCGGAAGGCGTGACCCTAATACAAAAGCTTGGATTACATGTCCAAGACTCCCATGCTTAGAGAATCTTATAATTTACTTTTGCCGCATATAATTGATACTAATAAGCTGGAAATTTTTAAATCAATCAAAAACAATAAGACCTATTTGCCCCCCAATTAGTCCATAAGCTAAGCCATAAACCAACTGCTATATTTCTGCATGCCACAATTCTCAACTGGTATCAGCAGTGTTGCTCAAACTAAGTGGTGAATCTCCACTTCAAATAGAATTAGATTGATTTGTGAATGTTAGGCATCACAAGTAATTTACGTTTTAGCTGTCACATCGGATTCCTCTGATGTTAGGGATTTGCTGAGGGCGACTAGCGTCTGCTTTCTTCTAGGGTTTTTCTGTGCGAGAGAGGGTGATCTGTGCATGGAGGAAGGTCATTCCTACTCCACACAACTGCCGATGGGGTCTGTTGATCTGCAAAACTCTCCACAAAGAACATCATGGAGAAGTCTCATAGATAGTTCGAATAAGAAGTCTTTCACAAATCTCACATTTCATGAAGATACTCAGGCGGAGTCTATGGTGTCCATTATAGATGACGATGGGGCTGAAGAAATTGAATATCGGGGTAACTCTATAGTTGGTTACGTGATGAGAAAGAAGCCATATTTCGCTATCTTTGAGAAGTTCATTCGCAAATGATGGGGTGAGGATTTGAAGGTGATTTCTCTTCGACGGCTTCTTTATGGTTCGCCTCAAATCAAAAGAGGATTTACAGAATGTCATGCAAAGAATATATACATACATATGAGGATCATCCTATTATTGTTAAGTGGGAGAAGACTGTAAACCATGAGAGAGATGTGTTAGGGTGTGTCCCAATATTGTTAAAGGCTTATGGCCTACCTATTCATTGTCAATGTAAAACTGTGTTGTCTAAGATCTGCTCTAAATTTTCTAAACCTTTGTTCTTAGATGATTCTTTGGCTAGAGATCGTGCCCAATATGTTAGGGTTATGGTTGAGGTCAACGTGCATGAGGTACTGCTAGAGAAATTATCTATTCTTGTTCATGGTAAGGAGTGTGTTCTCAATCTCAAATATGAGTGGAAGCCTCAGATTTGCACCCATTGTAAACGAGTGGACTATTTGGTGGGGCAATGTCCTGAGAAACAGAAATCTCAAGGTGTGTGGATTGTCAAGAGAGTGGTAAATAGATCAATGATGAAGAGAAGGACAAAATGATAATGATAATGTTAGTGATGCTACGGCTATTTCTAATGTGGAGGACAGTGATCACTCCTATAATTTTTTACTGGTGTGCATTTATAATCTCCCTGTAATGGTGATCAATCAGCTTCAGAAGATGTGCCAGGATTTCTTATGGGGCACCAAGGACAGTCTTAGAAGAATGCATTTGTCAATATAACTAAGGCAGAGGGTGGGTTGGGTATTAAAAAGATTTCTGACATTCAATCTGCTGCTAAATGGTCTCTTGTGTGGGACTTCTTATTTAGCAAAGATAGGTTATGGGTGTCTTGGTTTAAAAGCATATACACTTCGGCAGCTTGTTATTGGAGTGCTATCCCTTCTTTTACCCATTCTGTTATATGGAGATCTATACTGGCGTTAGGGAGTTTATGGTGAATCACGTTTCCTTTCAGGTAATGGCCAGTTGATTCAATTATTTTCGGATCCTTGGTGTGATGGGGGAAAACTATATCCCAGAAGTTTGGTCATAGGGTAGCTAGACTTGTTCACTTGGATAGAAACAGCAAATCGCAATGTTTAATGCTTAATGGTCAATGGTGGATGGAACCTCGATATGCTACAACATGCTGATCTTGTCCACTTCAGAGATTTCTGTCTGTGAGGGAGAGGATAGATTGTTTTGGGCAGGTGGTAAATTTTCATTTTGAGACAGCTTGGAATAACTGTAGAGTCAAATATGACAAGGTTGAGTGGTACGGACTTTGCTGGAACAGTGGTAGGCCTAGGTGTTCTGTTACTGCAGTTTTTGCTATGTGGGATAAGTTGCCTTTTTTTTTTTTGTAAGTAAGATTGCATAAAAGGCGCTCAAGAGGGGAGCACTCCCAGAAGAATATATACAAGAGGCTAAAGGCGACAACTATAGCTTTTAGCTATTCACAAAATCCAAAAGATGCCCCAAAGAATTACAATTCCGCCCATAAATCCAAAAGAATAAAGTATACAGAATATTGTATTTGAGAGCCCAAATACGAGTCTCCTCTCCCCCAAAGGATCTCCTATTCCTCTGACAACAAACCCCACCATAAACAAAGGGGAGTGAGATCATCTCTTTTATTTATGCCCTTTTGCTAGGGCTATTTGGTGTTGGTTTTGGAGATTTACTTCATTGGGTTTTGCCTCCTCCTGATACAGATCAGTTTCATCAGTTCTGTAATTGGTTCAGGGATCATGTAAATAAGTTGTCCAAGATGCTATTCTCTGCTATTATTTGGGGTATTTGGCAAGAAAGGAATTTCAGGCTTCATAGTGGGGTTAAGAGAGATGCTTCTTCTTTGGCTAGATCAAATACTCTTTGATGTTCTTGATGCAGCCTCTATTTCTTTGTATGATCTGTTGGAGTGAGCCTTTTTTCTTGAGTGTCTTTTTGCTGTATTGGAAGTGGGCTTACTCACTTCTGTTTTTATGTTTGTTTTCACAGAGGGTATGCCCTCTGATCCTATGTACTTCATTGCCATATTCTTAATGAAATACCACCTCCAATTTTCGAATATATATATATATATATATATATATCTCAAATTATAGTCCCCAATTCAACTGAAAATTTGAAAAGTCAAACGGAATGACCTATCGAACAAAAACATGGCTGTGCCCTTGTGTGTTTGGTAGTGCTTGTGGACAGAAAGGAACATGAGATCCTTTGATGGCGAGGAGACTCCCATCAGGGCACTGAAATTCTCTAAAATCAATTCTCTTTTTTCTGGGTTTTTGGGAGAAATCGTAAATCGTTGAGGGAGATAATTGATTTTTGGACATATTGAGAGTTTAGGAGCCCTATTTGGTCCTTGCGTAGCTTTTCCAAGATGCTTTCCCCATTTGAACGCCTTCTCATGATATCAAAATGGCAAAAATCTATTTATTTGCTTGAAAACTAAGACTTGCAGAACTTGATAAAGACATGTACAAATTAGAAGTTTGGTGACCAATAAGAACATTGGGAAACTTAACTAGGAAAAATTAGTTCTTCTTGAAGAAGTTCAAAATCTGGAACAAAGAACATAAAAGAATAAGAAGAACTTAAATAAGGCACTTAAAATTAAAAGTTGAAAGCTGGAAAGTGAGCTTGTTAAATCAAAATAACTTGTCTGCAATCTGCATCAGTGTGAATTCTGAGAGAAAACGAACTGTCTAAGCTCAACATTGAGAATGCTGAGGTTAAAGCTCCCATAATGAATTAGAGCCATCAGCTAGTAATTCTTATGGAAAGGAGGCATGTGAGCAAATTTCCAGCTCAAGGTCTGACCATTTGTATTTTATAATTAAGAAAAAAATTTAAAGCCTATTAAACGAGTCCTCTCGTGTTACAGGTTACACAACCCATTTATTATAAGCGCTTTACATGAATCCTGACAGGTCATGTTATGTCACCTGTTCGGTAAGCAAGTCATGTTCGTGTCAGGGGGTCATGACAAGGATAGTAAACGTGCCGTGTTCAGGATAACGCACATAACTCAAAAACAACACCAACACAAATTGTGACCCCTAAGGACAGCTAAGAAATAACATATTCTCCTCTTTTTTTGTATAAGAAAACTTCATTAAAAAGTGCTCAGAATAAATCTTTATATCCTCAAGCTATCCACAAAATACTCTATAGTCCCCACACCACCACCCCCCCCCCCCCCCCCCCCCCCCCCCCCCAACACAAAAAAAAAAAAAAAAAAAACGAATGTAATGCTTTTATCACCCGTATCTCCCACACCATTGAAGGAACTCCTATTTCTCTTACACCACAAACCCCATCACATACAAACAGGACTACCATCCATGCATCTCGAACTTACCTTTTCACTGTACATCCCCTCCAAGACTTGAGTATGTGTTGACCTTATGGAAGCCAGTAAAATCCATTACACACCAAAGACAGCAAAAAGCATAGCATAACCAAAACTTCCCTAGCCACCGGCAATGCAAAGAAAGGGGACTCACTGGCTCTTCATTCCTCTTGCATGCGCAACACAGTTGGTCACAATTTGTTGTCTCTTCCTCAAATTATAAACCATTAAAATCCTCCCCAAAGCCGTTGTCCGTCCAAAGAAAGTCTTATTGAGTACTCTTGTTCTCCATACTGCTTTCCATGGGAATATTGCCGCCCAAACATCCTGCAACACCTGGCAAAGAGATCACATTGCAAAACCTCCCTGCCAGGAGCTCCACTCATCCAAATTCTGCTAATATGTAAACCAAAGGCTCTACTGAGTTGAATATTACTAATTATTGTCTTGAAGTTAATAAAGTTAAAAAAAAATTAATGAAGAAAAAAATAATCAATGAAGCTTTTAGTGTTAGACAAATCTATGTCTTATATTTCTAGAATTTACTCTACTAGCATGATCAAATTATGTTGAATATGTTCAAGACAACAGCTCAATGCTACTTGGTCAATTGGTCAAGTAACAAGAATAAATCACAGAAACAACTATAGCAGCAGTAGTAATTGTTTATATGTATAATGTATCTTGTAACAATATCAAAGAACAAAAAGAGATCTAGGAATTGCAATAACTGTATGTACCACGTCCACTTAACACGAGTGTCATAAATGTCAAAGTCCATCATCATTCAGCAAACATAACAGCAAAGAACAAGATTTCTAACCTCTTATCACAATCTGATATAGTATCAAATTTGGAAAGCAATAATAAATAACAAGAAACCTATGTATGTTAAATACTTTCATCTTCATGCACAGGAAATGAAAATATTCTCAAATTGAAAATATTATGTATTTCACTATGTGTGGAATGAAACAAATTTTGTAAAAAAGCTGTAATACAAACACAAATCCTTTGGAAAAACAAAAAAAAAAAAAGTACAAAAAGAATGTACAAAATTTAGTGCAAAACTGACCTCAGTGTCCAAAATAGAGAAAATTACAGAAGGGCAGTTCCATTCAAGTTTAGTGCAGCCACTAAGATATGGTGATTCCCGTCTTTAACACTATAAAAGGAAATCTGGGATTATTGGTGTTTGTGCAGCCACATTCACACCTCCATCCGCTCTTTGTCGAGCTTTGTGCCTGCCATGACGGTGACTGCTCTTCTGCTTATCTTTCTCACCGTTTTCTTCTCCTTCCTCAACATTCTTCCCTGGACTTCTATGTTTTCTCTCTTTACCATGAGGACGGTGTTTGCTTCTTCTTGAACTCTGATTTCCAAGCTCAGACTTCTCTACATTTAAATTCTCTTTCGATTCAGAAACTTGATCAATATTTAGTATCTCCTTTCCTCTTCTCTTGCTTGATGACTTATTTGAAAGGTTGCTTCGTGATGACGTGGGTATGGCTTCATTGCCTAGAAGAACATCTCGCACTGCTACAGAGATCAGATCATCTTCCAACTCTGGCTTCTTGGCTATAATCGGTATTTTATCTCCATCCAATTTTACCACCACAGGCCTTGGCTTTGTCTGGTTTGGCTTTTTCTTCAGGACAAGTGATTGTTCTGCGAGCATAACAAGATCTACAGTATCATCATTGACATTATCCCGCAACTTAGAGTCATTAGCAAGTGGGTAATCATTGGATATAATTTCCTTTTTCTCTGAAGGGAGATAATATAACCCATGCCGCTTGCGATGTTCTGCGAGTAGAGATGTGGACTCAGTTGATGGTACTGAATCTTCTTGATCATCGCGGTTGAAGATGGAGTTACCATCCCTCTCCCCAAATAGTGATCTTCCAAGGGAAAATGGACTTGATTTAGGTGATTGCATATCTCCACAAATTGTATCCAAATCCCTCAGATTATCTGTAAGTGTTATGCCATCTGGTATAGGTATCCTTCCTTGAGCACTACTGGAAACTGGACCAAGCTCCTCAGAAAAGGCACCACTCACCAGATTGATAATTTCACAAGCTTTCAGTTCTTCCTTCTCAAAAATCCCACCGTTCTGAACCACACAACCACGTATTACTTTCTGTATCAATTCGACCAAACCAAGAACATTCCTTGCCCTCTCTTGAATTTCCACCTCATGGCTTCCTGTTAGCTGACCCAAAGCAGTTTCAATAATATCTAACAGATTAACAATAGATTCTTGGGTCAAACGATCTCTCTTTAAATCAGATAAGGAAGAGGTTTGCCCATGAACAACAATTATATCCCCACCATTATCAGCAGAAAGTTCTTCAACTTGTTCATTAAAAGCCATTGGATTAAACCCTTCATCCCGTTCACTATTGGCAGGAGCTTCACATGTTGCTAAATCAGAACTTTCCACACATTCCCTCTCACTGACCGAATCAATCACTCCTGGTTCCAGATCAATAGGATATGCGGAGGAAGAAGCAACAGCTTCATTTGGCATGAGATAAGAATGTAGACAAAAGGTCAATACTTTAAACGCAGATTGAATATAAACAGCTCTTATTAATGGTGGCAAGAGACTAGTTCGCGGTTGTAACAGTGCTTCCATAAGCTCAGATGGATTCTTCGAAAACTCAACATACTCCCCCGACACCCAAGCAGCGGCAGACAATATCCTGTGTAAGAAAGGATTACCAAGCAATGCAGGATCAATCAGTAAATCACGACTAACATGGACAAGCTCCGGTCTAACATCCTTGACTCTCATACCAATATCAATAAGCTGGTTCTCAAGCTCTTCCCCCTTCTGACAATGTGGTATCCTCGACATTTCCCCAAGAAGCGACACATACCAATCAAAATCAACAATTATCTCATAGACATTCCTGGAGCAGGTCGATAGGATGGATCCAAGAATCTCATTACAAAACTCTGGGTCTGATTTTAGAGCATAATTAACCAAAACCCTACAAATTTCAGCAACATTATCCTCGGACACTATTGACATCACAAGACGCAAAGCCTCGAGCTTAATATTAGGATCAGCATCGCTCAAAGACTTAATGACAACCTCCTTGTTCTCCAACACTGCCCACAAGTGCCGCGGTGCAGCAACCAAAAGTGCTTGCAACCCAAGATACTTAAGATTTGGATCATCATCAACCAACAATTCCCGAATCTTAACAACTGCAAGTTTCACTGCAGATTCATACTCACTTAAGCTAGTCACTATAGTCTGAATACACTCAAAAATGAGAGATTTTGCACACGTTCTCCTCATATGCTCGCAAATGGGTTCAACAATTCTCTTTGCCAGCCTAGGCTCCAGTGCCGCCAACTTAGCAAAGATCTTCAAAACCTTAATCAGCACCCAGTTATTCCTCGAATCGACCAAAATCCTATAGAATTCGGGTGCCAGTGGGAGATAGGATTTGGGGTCTTTTGCAGTGAGCTCGCAGAACAGCCCCACTGCCGCGGACACTGTTTGCAAATCTGATGCACTTTCTTCTAAATTCTCAACCAATCGCTTAAAACAAACCCTAACCGCATCTGGATATCTACTAAAAACCCTCAAAAGGGTTGCGATCGCTTTCTTTCGGACAAGGGTCTTTGTACTCGACAGTAATGTGAATAATTCAGGGGTTAAGTCTCGGGCTAAATCGGGCGTACATATAACTGATAGACATTCGAGAGCGAGGCTTACCTCTAACTCGTTGGTGGCATTGAGGTCCTTGCGGAGTTGGTTGGTGATGAGGAGGATGACATCTGTGCCAGAATGGAAGGACTGAGAGGCGGCGAGGTATCCGATCTTCTTGTGGTGGAAGCGGGCAGAGCTGGTGACCTCGACGGCGTGGAAGGCGGCCCACGACATGTCGACGCCGTGGAGGGAGTGGAGATAGGTCAGCTTCTGGAGGGCCATGGACTTGGTTTGTGGGTCAGTCGATTTGATCTCGTGCCGGATCTCTTCTAGGCCTTTGGAGATGAAAGTCGATTCGCCCACCAGTTGCAGGCGGAGGCCCTTAATTAGGTCCTCCAGAGTGCGTTGAAACAGTGAGTCCATGATTGAAGAAGACCCCGCCATTGATATCGATATTGATCCAATAATGGAACAATATCACTATATATATATATATATACTGATATATAGGTATATATAGAACAGGGAACCGTGAGAACCCTTTCTCTCTCTTATCTTCTCTCTCTAGGGCGACATGGACATACACGCTTTTACAGATCGTCTAATTTGGGAGGAAGCATTACAAGTATAAAAAAAAAAAGTGACGTTAGAATCAAAGAGTATTTTGGGGTCCAACAAAATGTCGTATTAGCACTTTCTTGGAAGCAAATTTTTGAAATTTGGATTTATGCCTCCTCCTCCAACGAAAGAAATTTTTTTTTGATGCGAATAAGCTGGTCTGGAGAGAATAAAAAATAAATAATTTATTTTTACTATTATATTCATTATTCTTATATAATTTGGGATAGTAATTTAAAACTTACTAGTAAGCTGAAGTGTGTACATAAAAATTGTAAAGTAAAAAATTGTAAATGATCAATATATATATATATATATATATATATATAAGGAATAATTTTGCATTATTATTTATTATATATAAATATATTATAAAACTATATTACTTATTGAAATAAATAACATTCTAAAATTTTAAAATAAATTATAAAAAAATATATAAATAATTTTGTATATAAAATTTTTAGTTTATGATTTTATTGGTATATTTAGAAATATATAATTGTTGTTATGTATTTATTGAAATAAATTATGTATTTCATTCTCTATTTAGATTTCAATTTCAGTATATTCTACTACTATATTATTATTATTATTTTTTCTCCACTAATTGGATTTCTTTTTATTGAATTAAATAAATATTTTTTAATATTATATATTTTCTTCTCTGATTAAATTTTCAATAATTTAGTTTTTAAAAATATTTATTTTATTTTCTAATTACATTTTTTACTACTATATTATTATTAGCAGTAGTATTTACTATTACTATATTATTAAATAACTTTTTAACATTATAAATTTCCTTCCAATTAGATATCCATTTATTGAATTTTAGTATTTTCTACTACTATATATTATTATTATGGCTTAAATCATAGCCCCATTATTTTCAAATTTTAATCATAAACCCCCAACCTATTTAAGAAAACTCCCTACAATTTAAAAAGTTATTGCATTACCCCTAATCTTGTATCCGACCGGTTAAATCGGTTGTAAAATGTCGAATTTGACCTTACTATTTAATATTAAATTTAAAAATATAATTATTATTTATGAAATTACAAAAATACCCATGTCTTCATCCTCATCTTCACCCCCTCCCGCTAAAATGTGTTCTGAAGCTCACAGTAGGATGATCTTTGAAGCTTCCCAGCCATGCTTGTGCTTACCTCTGTTTGGCTAATGTGATACCCCTCGACTACAAGATATGGGTTGATCAGACCCAAGCCCAAACCCAAACCCGAGGGAAGTATCAACTAATTAAGATAATAAACAAGCATAGAATACAAAAGGAAATAAGAATAAATAAAGAAGTTGAAAAGAAACTAATTAATAAATCCTCCATTAAAATCCAGTAGAATAATACTCCAATAATAAATCCAAATCCTCTGATACCAATAACCGTCTACATTATAACTCAGAAATCCATCATGTGGACCCCTAATAAAATTCTAATTGAAAACTGAAGTAACGAAATCCAACAACTAAAATAAAAAGGAAATCCTACATAAATGAGTGATGAAGACTGTCTCTGCTTAGTATGAACAATCTCTAAGTCTGAAACTGACGAATACCTGAAAAATAATAGTAGGTCAAGTCTACAAACAAGTTCTACTTTACTACTATGATGGCCTTGGTTTTACAAACCCGGTGTGTCCTGTGATAACCCATAAGATGACCCAAAACAGATTTGGAATGCGGAAGCGAAAACAAAAACAAGGTCTGTAGGGGTATACAACATCCCTAAAACACCAAGGTGACCTTCCGTGAAGTTACAGGACTCAACAAGAATGAAGGCGAGAGCAAAGATTGAAAATAGACCAAGTATGCCCCCAAGGGCAAAATGGTCTTTTCACACAGAAAACAAAGTATCTAGAGATGCACATCATCCCTAAGATACAAACGTGACTTCCCATGAAACCACGGGACTCAAAGAGGCAAAGTGTGGAAGAGATAGGTTTCAAATGGCAAAGGTACTTGACAAGGGGTAAAATGGTCTTTTAAAACAAATTTGGATGCAACCGTGCATACCATTGGATAGACAACCAAAAAAAAAAAGGATGAAAAGGGTATAAAACTTCAAAGTTTCATAAAATTAGACACCTGACAAGCCACAGGGCTTGCACAGATTTTGAGATTTAAAATGTAATTTTGAGGTCTTAAATGACATTTTTTGGAAAAAAAGTTGTGAAGTGAGCCCCGCAAAATCATATTTTCTACATGACCATGTCAAGAGAAATCTTTATTTTGCAAGTGAAATACCCAAAATGCCCTTAAGATCAGACTTTTTTTCAATAAAAACCTGAAAATGCATGCACCAAATTTCTGAAATTGACACAGGATTTCCGAGACCAAGATGTCATTTTCTGGAAAATTGCCATAAAGAAACCCCCCCTAAAATCACATTTTCCATGTGACTATGTCAATGCCAGAATTTATTTTTCAAAGTAAAAGCCCCAAAATGCCCTTAAACCAGATTTGGCAAAAAAAAAAAATGGAAAATGAGTCCAAAGGGTGCTCATTTCATGAAATAGGGTATTGTGTGCCCAAGTGAATATGCACGCAAACATAATATGCCTAATTAGATGCACTACAATGGCCCGTGGCCTCAAAATACGCCTAATACAAAATATGACCTATCAAACCTTAAGTTTGCAAAATATTTCCTTTAAAGGAAAACATGAAACCAAAAGTATACAAATGGAAGCAAAAGATGTTTTGGCCCTTGGTCACATGTCATACATATACAAATAGTCATAAAGAGTGTGCTTATGCACACTTTACATAATCCAAATTGAAAATGACATGTCAAAACCTCTAATTTCTTAATATTCCCTTAAAAGGTAAATTTCAATACCAAAATACACAGACATGAACAAAATGGCTTTTGGCCCTTGGCCACACCTCATACATGTTAAATAAGCCTCAAAGAGTTTATCTAAGTAAACTTTACATGTTTCAAAATAAAAACGACATATGAAACCAAAAGAAGCATTACAACTTCAAAGGCAAAGAAAGTAAACATTGTAACACTTGCATGTACTTAAAATTACACAGAATGACATAAATAAACCACGCTGGTGTGGGCGTGACCGATACCTCAAAATGATGTGAAAAGTGTGAGTGTGTGAAGTGGCCAAAACATTTAAAATTTATAAAAATCACTTAACACTATACTATGTAGTATGAGTGAAAAGGGATCGTCCCAAGGGATTTGCAAGGTACTACGGAATCAAAATTAGATTAGTAAGTCAAATGATCAAAGAGAGGTTTGGCTTGATTGAATTAAGTTAATGATTCAATTAAAAACATGCAAATTAAAAACAATCTAACGATTAAAGTATAGAGAATGAGAAAGAAGTCTTGGGGTATAGAGTTTACCACTAAGCTTCACTTCACTAAACATTTAGCATTTGTTAATTTAGGGGGATTCCATGTTGTAAAACAAATGTGTGTGCCATTAATTAAAATACTAAGTATGGATGGCAAATTAAGCATAAATTGTCTAATCAATCTAGTGAGTAGCACAACTTATCAAATTAAGCTATTAACCATTCAATAAACCCAAAATTAATACCCACACAAAAATTTAGAGAAATATACTACTTGCACTGATAAGCATAGATCATCAAACAATAAGAATGGATTGTCTACCTATCTAAGAATTTAAAGCAATTACACTACACTTATACTAATGACAAGGAAATTAAACTAATTAAACTAATGAGGTAGCACAATCCATCAAGAAATAAGCATAATCCATTAAACAAACGACAAGAGTAGTCAATTAAGCACCGTGTCTTGACTATCACTAGATTTATAATTCTAACACACATAAACATGCATTAAACTCATAAAATCCAGTGTAAGTACATAACCATTCATTCTGACATACATAGACATATGAATAGAAATAAAAGATCAATTGGAAGAACTAATCCAAATAAATCATGTAAAAACACAAGATCTATATAATTATAGGTCAAAAAATTATTTACAACATAAATCCCCACAAAACTACAAAATACTAAGTTTAGGAAGCAAGTTTAGGGGCTATCTTTAGCGCCAAGAGAAGGATCTAGCCACTCATGGTTATTGTCATCCAAACCTCAAGGGCTTTCTTCAATGTAGGCACCATCTTCTTCTTCTTGCTTTGGTCTCTAAAAACCCTAATCTAAAGGGAGAAAATTATATAATTGTATAACAAAAGTTGGAATAGCTAGTGAAACCCTATACAATTGGTTCAATTTCATTTAAATACAAGCCTTTGTGAGTGGGGCACAATTCAGAAAATAGGCCTTTGATTGGTGCAATCCCGTAGCTACAAAAGTTCATCACCACTAAGACCTTTCTTCGTATCTCTTAAATCTCTATCTCAACTTAGTTTTATTTTAATTGCATTTTTATTTTATTGCACCTTAGTTTAATCAACCAATCTCTCTATTTGCAATCTTTTGATACGCTAGAGTCGAAGTTAAATTCCAGCACGTATAATCTCTGTGGACGATCCCTACTCGCTATACTTCATTAGTTGTAGTAGTGGTTTTATAAATATGTGATGAGTGCTGAAAAGTGCGCATTTAAACCCCTTAAGCTTAGGTGTTATAGGACCTTTATCTATCTTACTTTCCCGTTTTAGACTAATTTCGTATTATTACCCTTTTTAGGTGCTTATCCCCAAAATAAGCTAATTCAGCCAAATAAGAGCTTAAAAGAAGCTAACTCAAGCTAGATGGAAGAAAGGAGCAAAGTGGAAGCAGAATGAAGCAAAGTATGGAAATCAGCATGTTCGATCGATCTCAAGAATACTTCGATCAATCGAAAGTTCATCGATCTAGACTCTCCAAGATGGATCCAAGCCCTGTTGTTTTTATCCAAAGTTCGATTGATCCAATAATTCTCAGATCGATCAAAAAGATTCTATCTTATCCTATTGTACCACCCTACCGACCACTTTTGTTTCTTTCCCTAAAATATCTCAGATCTATCCTTATCTAAAAAGGTGCCACCA